TACTAACTTTTTATGGGATTCAAATTATGTAAATGAAAGAAAGTTTAATTTTATTTTATATTTAATTAATCTAAGAAAGTTGTAAAAATATAATTTTTATCAATTTATGGATGATTGTATTGGATCTTAAATTTGTCTATTGCTATCTATTTCAATTCTTGATTTTTAATCTAATTTCGTCCATGTGCTCTTGACAATCGATAATTCTATTGTAATTAATTCTCTTTTTCAAGACAAATTAAATCTATTCTAGTCACGATCCAAATTTATTCCTAATCTGAATCCGAATGATTAGAATGCATTAAAATTTAGATTATCTATATAATTACACACGTGATAATTGTTATTCCTAACATCTATTGCACATGTTAATTTTACCGCGTTCTAAATTTAGGCCCTGTTTGGGAGGAATTAAATTTTTCTACAGTAAATCAATTCTCATTTTCAACCACACATTCTTTAATAAAATAATATTTTCCATTACATCAATAATTTTTTCTCCTTTTTCAACCACGCATTTCCCATTATATCACTATTCAAAATCAATTCTTCCCCTAAAAATCTCTCCCAAACAAACTCTTATTGTGAGTCTCACAACTTACAACAAGCAACTAATTATCTAATTGGTGACCAATTAAATAATGTAATAGGTATGCAAAATTAATCAAGAAACACAAGAAATAAATTAAACTAATAGTTTTGAATTAAAACAAATAACAAATATGGTTCATCTTCATCCAATACAAAATGAATTTAGCATAGCATGTTAATATATAAATTACAAAAAGAATAATAGAAAAATATCACCCGTATCATGAAATAAATTAAAAGATGTTGATCTTCAAGCCAGTGTTGAATTCTTCAAAATCTTGATATAATTAACCTTCAATTCCTTGTTATGGCTTGATATCTCTCAAAATATAGTAATTGGCCCATTTTTCTTTATGAATTTGATGATAATATTTTGTATGAAGAGGCAAGAGAAGTTTTTTATGTGTAACCGTCATTCTCTATTTATAAAATCTAGAAAATAGGTCAAAATCACGTCCAATTTGATTTTCAAAAGAATTTGAATTGCGAAACAAAAATAAAGATTCATCTGCGGAAAAGACCTATGTGCACCGTAGAACCAAATGGCACTCGAGTTGGGGAAAACAGGGTGCCGCACATGCCATGAATTGCCCTGCACGCGCGCAAGTTCGTGCTTGAGCAGTTTTCGGTATTTTGGCCATAACCTTCTCTACAGGTATCCGATTGAGTTGATTCAAAATGTGTTAGAAATGTAATTCAAAGGGATAGAATTTAGAAATAGAATGTTTCCAATTCAAACGTTTGCTATCCGAAAAATGGGTTTCAAGTTGAGTTTAAAAATCCATAGCATGACTTCTTCGTCTAGAAATTGATTGTGAAAATACTTCAACTATATTTCACTCATTTGACCTCCAATTGCAACCAATTGATCCTATATGTTCAATCATCGTTTTGTGCCCCGAATCAACTATTGCATGCTTACACTTTAGTCCCCAAACTTTGAATTTACTTCTTTTCCACACATTTTTCATTCATTTCTTCCAAATCCATCAATTCGTATTGAGTTCAACCTAACAAACATAATTAATACAAAATTAAGTTATAAATCATCCAAATCACTAACAAATACTCTAATTTAATGATCCCACATATAATTTGATATTTAGGTGGTCGTGTTCTCCATTACTTCAAATGTCTACAAGCAGACAACCTGCAATATCATCGAAACTTTAACTCCAAATTCATAATCTGTTCATGGTTGCACTCTTAATATCAGGGACGGATTTAGGGGTGGGGTGGTGGGGCTGTAGCCCCACCTCCCCCACCCCAAAAATTTTTTTTTTACTTGGGAAAAAAAAAATTTATGTAAAAAAAAATTTTCATGTGTAATTTTTTATGATATAATTGACCTTCAATTCCTTGTTATGGCTTGATCTCTCTCAAAATATAGTAATTGGCCCATTTTTCTTGATGAATTTGATGATAATATTTTGTATGAAGAGGCAAGAGAAGTTTTTTATGTGTAGCCCTCATTCTCTATTTATAAAAGTTAGAAAATATGTCAAAATCACGTCCAATTTGATTTTCAAAAGAGTTTGAATCGCGAAACAAAAATAAAGATTCATCTGCGAAAAAGACATATGCGCGCCTAGAACCAAATGACACTCGGATTGGGGAAAACAGGGTGCCGCGCATGCCATGAATTGCCCCGCACGCGAGCAGGCTCGTCCCTGAGCAGTTTTCGGTATTTTGGTCATAACATTCTCTACGGGTATCCGATTGAGTTGATTCAAAATGTGTTGGAAATATAATTCAAAAGGATAGAATTTAGAAATACAATGTTTCCAATTTAAACGTTTGCTATTCGAAAAATGGGTCTCAAGTTGAGGTTAAAAATCCATAGCATGACTTCTTCGTCTGGAAATTGATTGTGAAAATACTTCCACTGTATTTCACTCATTTGACCTCCAATTGCAACCAATTGATCCTATATGTTCAATCATCGTTTTGTGCCCCGAATCAACTATTGCATGTTTACACTTTGGTCCTCAAACTTTGAATTTACTTCGTTTCCACACGTTTTTCATTCATTTCTTCCAAATCCATCAATTCGTATTGAGTTCAACCTAACAAACATAATTAATACAAAATTAAGCTATAACTCATCCAAATCACTAACAAATACTCTAATTTAATGATCCCACATTTAATTGGTTGTGTTCTCCATTACTTCAAATGTCTACAAGCAGACAACCTGCAATATCATCAAAACTTTAACTCCAAATTGATAATCTGTTCATGGTTGCACTCTTAATATGTACTATGTTACAAAACTGCCAAGCCAACAACCAATAACTCTTTCAACTATTAGATCATTGCAATCCACATGCTTCTTCATAAATCTCAAAGAAAAAGAAATGCAAAGAAGAATCAAATTCAAACCAGCATGAGATTATTTTGATGCGAAGAATGGAAAACTAGAATTAAAGGTGAGTTCCCTACATAATTAAGAGGTAGTCAACAAGCAAACAAACAACTAGCAAACTCACACACATAAAGATATAAGAACGTGTTAGAAAAATAGAGAGACCTATTTGCTGAGTCTTGAATAACTTCAGCTGCAGAAAACAAATGATCTGACTCCAAATGCATCATCTTTGACCTCATTTCATTTAACAACAAATGAGATAGAAATTTTTGACGTTGAAGACCTCTCTAGAGGGATTCTTAGTTAGTTTAGAGTTCCTAGCTTAGCTGCATTTTAGCTTTTCAGAAATGTTGGGTTTGGCATGTTTGTTCTAGAATCCAAATTTTCCAATAATACTTTGGTTTATTTTTGCGAAGTTAATAACTCAATGAAGTATGTCTGCATTCTACTCTATTGTTTTAGGTTGACGATGTAATTCACGATAATCCAACACATTTAACACATTAGTATTACGTTCAAAATAAGCAAAGACTAGTAATAATAAAAAAGAGAAAGTGAGAGCTCCGTCCCCTTGTAATTTTTGTAACCGAGTTAATTTAATCAATGGTCACTAAAGTTTGTTATATGTTACTACTTGTTCAAAGAAATTTAAAATGTTACTCTTTGCTCGCTGATCTTTGTTGTATGTTACTATTTGTTCAATGAAATTTGAAAGGTTATTCGTTGCTCACTCAAATTTGAATAAAGTTACCTATTAATCATTGTATCGTTTCCATAATCGTTATCAATAACAAAGTTCGATGATGAGCG